TGAGGAAGGTTGGTATCAGTCGAGCATGGTGGTACCAAGGTGTTTAAGCTTTCTGTTAGGGCAATCTAGGATGAGTTAAGGAAAACTGCACGTAGGGTTGTGTTCCCCTTGAGATTTAGAGCAACTTTCATTTTTATATCGTGGCAAGCCGTGGCGTGTAGAGGGAGTTAGAAGGGCTCGAAGTTGATGGCATGGAGGGAGAATTCTGAGAACCTAGGGTTTGCATTGGGGACGATGAAGGTGAGACGTTGGATTCGTTCCAGGGATTGACCAATTCACCCAATCTAATGGCTGAGATCGCGTCTGAGATTGGAGGGAAGATTTGAATTTTAATTGAAACGCAGCGTTTCATTAAAGGGCATTCTGGGCCCAGAACGCTACTTGCACCCCCCTTTTTGTGTAGCCCAATTAATTCAGCTGGCGCGTTTACTTGTTGCACCCCCCATCCCTTATTTCATTTAATTCTTTTTATTTTTCTTCTTTTATTTTTTCTGATTTGTAAAATTCATTAAAAATAGTTAAAAAATGATTTTTAATTTCTTCTTTTTTCTATGAGTAGATTAAAATGAGTAGGAAATTATAAAAATAAAATTGAGATTTTATTTTTAGGTTTAATATTTTTAGTAGATTTTCCAATTAAATAGCTTTTTAATTGTTTCATTTTGGTATTTGATTTTGTAGGAATTGTTTTAGTACTTTCCATTAATCTTTTTTACCCATTCTTTTTTGTGCAATTAGATGATTAGTCATGCTTCCCCATAGGATTTTTTCTAGATTTTTTAGAATTGATCTTGATTAGTTTAATTAGGGTTGACTTAGGATAGTCTAATTAGGGTTTAGAATTGTGCATAGGTGATGATTCCTTTCTTTGATTGAGTTTTATCTTGATTTTTAGGTAGAAACCTTTGTAGATGTTATGAGTAGGTGTTGAGGACCCTTATGAATATTTGTTAAATTTTTCCCCATTAGTTTAGTATTTTTAGGCATTTTCTGAAGTTGCCTGATGATTTGGCCTGTTCAGTGGGTTATCTGTTCATCTGTGGGGTTCTTTCTGAGGAATTTGATGAAGGGCTTGGGTTGCCTTGAGGATATTGATGGAGAGCATCATGAAAGGAGCTTGTAGACCAGATGCAGAGACCCAGAGCTTGTCTCATCTCCTGTCTGTGAGGTTTGAGAGCCTGAAGTTTGAAGGAAGTTCATGGTACTTTCCTGAGGAAGGCACTATGAATGACTTTCATCCTTCCTTCTCACCTCTTTCTTAAGTATCCAATGATGTTGGAGCCAACTTGTGAGTTTAATTTCTCCTGAGGAGGAATGTAAACTGATCACATGTTGTTGAGCCACATGGGATACAACTCCTAAGTGGAAGCCTCCTAGTACTTTCCTGAGGAAGGTCCTATGAGTCTATTCACTTAGTTCCACTAGTTGATCTAGGATTTCTCAAGTATCCAATGATGTAGGAGCCAACTTGTGAGTTTAATTTCTCCTGAGGAGGAATGTAAACTGATCACATGTTGTTGAGCCACATGGGATACAATTCCTAAGTGGAAGCCTCCTAATACTTTCCTGAGGAGGGTCCTATGAGTCTATTCACTTAGTTCCACTAGTTTAAATAGGATTTCCTAAATATCCAGTGATGTTGGAGCCTGCTTGTGAGTTTAATCTCTCCTGAGGAGGGATGTAAACTGATCACAGTGGTTGAGCCACATAGGGTATGACTCCTGAGTATACACCTCTTAGTGCTTTCCTGAGGAAGACACTATGAGCCTGATTGCTTAGCTCCCTTTCTTTGGTAAGCTTATTCTGAAGCTTGAAGACTGGGAATGATTTCTCCTGTTTAGGGTTCTGCTTGAGAGCTTTGCTTAGGTTTGTTTAGATCCTGTGATTAGGGTTAGGATTAGAGAGTAGATGATTCTTTCTCAAGTGTGTTTGTTTGCCTGATGGTGCTTCATTCCCTTTATCTGTATGATTGCAGTTTACTGTTATTGCTTGATAGCATGTTGATTATCTTCAGTATGATTACTGTTATTTCATGACTGGCTTGAGGTTGAGATGAGCTTGTGGAGGCTGAAACCCCACACACATTTCCTCCCTCACTTGCATTGCATGCATTTTTCTGTTAAGCTGATGCTTTTGTCTGTTCTGTGTATCATTGACATGATCCCTTAGGATTCTCATTTCCTCTGATGAGGACTTGATGATAGACTTTTAGGTTGAAACCTATGCATGACAACATCTAGGAGTTCCCTGTTCAAACCTCAACCATAGGATGAATCCATGGCATGATAACAATAGGACTTGATAGTCTCCCTCCTAGTTGAGTTTTCTCCAGTAGTTTCCCGAACTACGTTTGCTCTGATCTTTCATACCAGATGAAAGTACGTAGGCATAGGATGCGATATCCTAGCGAGCAACCTTCCCCATTTTCCCCCCCCCCCCGTAGTTAGCCGAACTACGTTGACTCTGATTTCTCATTCTCTGATGAGAATACGTAGGCATAAAGTGCGACGCTTTGCCGAGTCATTTTTCTTTTCTTTTTTCAGCCAGCCTTGATAGGTAGATAGAATAAAACCAACCCGTCCAAGAAAGCAAACAAGCGAGGATCCCGTCGAGTACGACGGACGTGAGGGGTGCTAATACCTTCCCCTTGCGTAACCGACTCCCGAACCCAGACAATGGTTGCGATGACCTTGTCTTACCCTTTTTCGTCAGGTTTTTCCGATCGTTTCCTTTCCCGCTCTGAGGGATAAATAACGAAAGGTGGCGACTCTTCTGTTTTGCCGGCACCTTATTTTCGCGCGAGCGACACTTGTAATATTCCAATGTTTTATTACCCATACATGAAAGTTATTCTGACATTTACACTTTCTTATTGACATGATGATCTTAGACTCCCACAAAATCCAAAACAAAAGATGATAAAATTATTGTGCGGGATACCGATTCAGCTGCATCAAAGTTACAGGTACTAGTACTACAGTTTAAGTGATTATTTTATTATAAATTATTTACTGAACTTATATATGACTTTTAGGTTCTTGATCAGCAGTCGCAACAAGTCAGCAAGGGAAACATGCCTGAAACTTCCAAGGTGCCCAAAAAAAAGGTCGAGACAAAAAGAGCATTTGTTCCTCAATTTAGGTCGTGCCTTCAAACATATGTAGGGACAACAGACGTGCCTGAGGGCGACATCCGTCTAATACATATGGATCAAGGTATTTTCGGTTTTGAATATTCCGAAACACTTGCTAAGGAGGATTTCGACCAGGTTTTCAAACATTTAGAATTGGGCGTCTGGGTTATGCATTCCTACATCAGGTACTTCGATCCATTTTAATTAGATAATTGAACATTTTAAAATTCGCTCGTTTAACTGAATAATCTAATGTTGATTATATTTTTTTTAGGCGCTTGTATGACAAGTTGTTGGTCCCCGCTGATTTGACTTCAGTATTCGCATTCTTATCTGCTAGCAGTGTCAACTCACGGACAATAGACCAGACACCAGAAGCAGTCAAAGAGTACACAGCCCAGAGATTTATGGGTGTGAATACGGAGAAGTTGTTTATGTTGCCATATAATACTGGCCATGGGTTAGTTTTTATTCTAAATTCATTTATTATAATTGTTCGATTTTTGCCATATTATATAACATTTCCGTCTAAACTGTTGTCTTATTTTATAGTGGTCACTGGTTGTTGGTCGCAATTAATCCGATTAAAGAAATAGTGTATTATATAGATTCATTGGATGGCGATACAAACAAATATGAAAATCTGAAGAACATGGTTGATACGTAAGTGATGATATATAGTGTTATGAATAATTATATATGTTTATTTATTATGTGACATTGTTCTAAATATGTGTTTATATTATGTTAGAGTTATACAAATATACAGAGCACAGAGAGATGCAACAGTGCCAAAAAGCAGGGCTAGCAACATCAACTGGATCAGAGTGGAGGTATATTTTCCCATGTTTGACTGTTATAGTGGTTCTACTTATAAAACTATTTAAACTATATATCCTGATAAATGTTCGTTCGCTTTTTTCCTAATACAGTGTCCTCGTCAGCGTGGTGGGATTGACTGCGGATATTTTGTACTGCGCTTTATGAAGGAAATCATTCTTTCTGGTCAATTAGAGATTCCAACCATGGTATGGATCAATTCATGAGTTATATGATTCATTTTGATAATTAACTAATATTTCATCTGAGTAATTAGTATTAAATCATGCTTGTTCTGTTATATTATGTAGTATTTTGATGAATTTAAATGCGCTACGTACTCGAAAGTAAAATTGGAAGAAATTAAGGAAGAATGGTGTCAATTTATGATTGAGTTAAGAATTCTATAATGTATATTGGATTTGTAATTATGTGTAAATTGTATATTGTATATTGTATAATGTACAATGTTTAAATTATGTGTAAATTATACTTGAGTTAATTATGTGTAAATTGCAAAGTGTTATTGTATAATGTACAATGTTTAGTTATATTGTGTTGAATTAAAGGCCAAGTATTGAATTACAATGTTTAAAGGCCAAGTTATATTTAAGGCCTGAATTATAAGCAGGGAATTTAATTGTTATAAGCAGGTTTGTCTAAAAATATATAAAAAATGTGATTTTTCAAAAAAATTTTTTTAAAAAATGTGAAGTATAGACAGCGCTTTTACAAGAAAGCGCTGCTAAAGGGAGAAAAATAGGCATAAAAAAACGCTGCTATAGGTTAGGAAAGGAGGGGTCTAAGAAAGCGCTTTAGAAAAGCGCTGCTAAAGGGTGGTCTACAAAAGCGCTTTCATAAAGCGCTGCTACAGGGGGGGAGGGGGGGGGGGGGGAGAATAGGCAGCGCTTTGAAAGCGCTGCTAAAGGGGTAAAAAAGCGCTGCTAAAAGTGATACCTTTAGCAACGCTTTTTCCATAAAAAAAAAGCGCTGCCTTTACCTTTAGCAGCGCCACTTTAGGCATAGTGTGAGTTCTAGATTTTTCAAATCAAAACATTTCTTCTCTCGAAATAAGGGTTTCAAGGTCTAGTTGGACTTTGGTTTCTTGTTTTCTAAGATAGGCATTATTGCTATCGAGGGTCAGTTGGTCTTGAACATTGTCAAGATTCTCTTTAGCAACTTTGGTATTGTTTTGAATATTGCCAAACACCTCTCTATTACAGACCTTAAGCTTTACTTTGAGAATATGGAGTTTCCCGTTAAGAATAGACATAGGACAACCAATGACAGGATTAGACCAACAGTTAGCAATGAACTCTTCATATGCTTCATGCATAGTCCACATTCGAAGGAATTTGAAGCTGGAAGCATGATTGTGGGAGGTAAAAGTGAATAAAAAAGGATTGGATAATGGTCAGATCTGATCTTAGGCGGGGTAGAAGCATTCAAAGAGTTACATGTGGTAAGCCAGCTATTGGTACAAAACACTCTATCAAGTCTTCTCTCAACAAAATATAAGCCTTGCCTATTGTTATTCCAAGTGAAATAGGCTCCAAAAGTGGGAATATCAATGAGGTTGTTGATGTCAAACCAATTTTTGAAATCTTGCATATGAGAACTATTAGGATTGTGTCTACCATTATGCTCATGAGCGCCCAAAATAGCATTAAAATCTCCTATAAAACTCCAAGGGATAGCATTAGAAATTAAAGTGGAAAAAATATTGGCCCAGAGATTTCTTCTAGCCAAGTGACAGGTTGAAGCATAAATTGCAGAAAAGCCAATAGTGCAAGAGTCCTGAATAATACTGAAGGAGACACGTTGGTCTGAGATGATAATAACACGAGGGTTGAATGAGTTATGAAAGAGACCAAAGATTTAAAAGAAGTTCACCTTTTTCATTGCAAGCAAAGAGTTTAAGGTTTAAGTTGTTAAAGAATTTGAAAGGAAAATTTTTGAAATCCACCCAAGGTTCCGAAATAAAAACAAAGTTAGATTTGTGAGAATTTATGATACTTTTACAAGCTAATCTTATGGAGGAATTGGCAAAAATGCTTACATTCCAAAAAAGGATCTTCATTGCAAAGGTTGGAATTTATCCACCTTTGATCTGGTCTTGAATTTAGCTTTAAATTTTGCTTGTTGTCTTGATTTTTTCTTTATGGATTTTGATAAGGCTAGTTGAAATTCTTTTTCCTCACTAGAGTAAGTCAATTATTCATCATCCTGATCCTGTGCCATGTTGGCCCACGAGATTTTTAAGAAATTTTCAGCATCCTTTTGTGTTATGACCAAGTCTTCAACATGGTTATGTAATTGAGTTGCATCCACAAACTCTGTTTCCTCTGAGATTGACTCATTTAAATCCACAAGTCCTTTGTTTAGAAATTTGTTGTCCAATTTCGTTGCGGCAATGTTAACATTGTTATTCTCCTTATGTTGATTGTTTAACAAATCCACCACGACATCAACATTTTCTTTCATAAGCTCATGCTTTTTTGACCTTACTAATCTCTTTAGTTTTTTATTGTTGGATTATCCACGACCGTTTCCTTTTGTTTATTTAAGACTGGGACGAAAAATTTCTTCTTACCAACCATATTTGTGGATTTATTTTCCTCTTCAGGGACTTTATTTCTTCTCCTACAGACTCCTAAAGAATGGCCAGTGATATTGCAGAATTAACAAAAGTCGGGCAACTTCTCATATTCAATTTCAACAAAAAAAGAGAATCTCACTCTTTCCACCAAAATCTTGTAAGTTAAATTTTTTTGGAGATCAATATCAATCAAAACTCTAACAAAATGCTCAAAGGGCCTATCAAAACTAGGTTTTCTAGAGGAGGAATTAATGCAGATAGGAGTACCTAGGCTGTTGGCAATGGCGAAAATAATCTTGGGTCTCCAGTACTCTTGAGATAGACTATGGATTTTAATCCAGACTTAAGCAGAGGTTTGACTCACCTTTGAAGGCATAAAGATCTGGGTTAAGAATCCAAGAGCTTGTGGATCTTATCATTTGCACGTTGTTAAGACAGGAGAAGGAGAACTCGAAGAAGCCTTTCCCAAGGGAGGTGATTCTCCATTTGCCAATAGATGTCCATTATGAAGAAAGCTTTATTTTGATGCTAGCTACAGTTAGTGGTGTCGCCCCTTTTGGCCAAAGGATTCTTCCATGTAAATTATGTTTGCAAGCTTCGAGCCTTAATTTGTATTCTTCCTCAAAGATTGTAATAGCCAAACATTATCCTTTAAAACACGGAGCTGAGAGTTGACTAACAGGGACATTGCAGACATTAGCCACTGCATCAGCAAAAGATTTTTGTTTTGGAGTTTCTAAAGGTTTGTTTGGTTGTTGGTGTACTAAAGGTGAGTTGGTATCAAGCTGAACGGAAGGGGTAACATTTGTCTCAAGAAAAAGGAGTGCAAGATGAAATTGATTCATGATGGCAAGAAGAAGAGATAGCAGATAAGGTCAACCAGGAAGGGGAAGCTCATTTTTCAGTTTCACCAAACCCTACACGAAAAGATTGAGCTGTTCTTTAAATATTGTGTGCATGGTTATAATGGAAAAGGAGGGGTACGAGCTTCTACGTGCATGGTATTTTGCTGATAGTTCCTCGTGAGAAAAAGAGAAATTTTGACATTTGAAAAAAAGAAATTTTTATCTCAAATAATAAAAAGTATTAATTAAAATAAAATAGATATAATGATTGGAATGAGGTCATGTGTAAGTTGGAAATTTTTAATCTTTTATTTGTGTAAATTAATGTAAAAGAAAGAGAAATTTAAGTAGTTTGACGATAGTTAATTTTGATAGAAAGATAGTTGATACTTAGAAAAAAAATAAAAAGTGAAAAAGAAAATGAAGTGTTAAAAAATTAAAAATAAAAGTGAGAAAGTGTGGGAAAATAAAATGGAAAAGATATTTGAAATTTGAATTGAAAGAAGAGAATGAAGACGGGGAAAGTTGAAGTTTAAAAATAAATTATTCAAATTAAGCCATGTGTCACTTTGTAGTAAAATATGTTGGAAAAAAAATTGAGACATTAGTCATATACTTTTTTAACCTTTTGATAGTGTCAAGTTTTCTCTTTCCTACACTTTTTTACTTTTATTTTTAATTTTCCCTCTCTCCATTTTCTCTTTCCCATTTTATTTTTCTAAGCATTAATGAATAAATAAATTTAATATTTTTAATTAAATGAAGAGGAACAAATAAAAATTGACTCAACCGAAAATATAATTATTAAAAAATTATTTCAAATGTCAAAATTTTTAATTTTTTTCATGGGTCACTATCAGCAAAATATCTATTTTTTGTTAATTAATAATTATCTTTATTTGAGACACAAAATTCTTATTTTAAAATGTCAAACTTTCTATTTTTTTCATGGGTCACTATCAACAAAATATCTATTTTATTTTAACTAAATATTGTCTTTACTTGAGATACATAATTCTTATTTTTATATGTAAAAAAATTTTATTTTTCTCACCGGTCACTATCAGCAAGATACTATTTCATTTTAATTAACAATTATCTCTATTTGAGACATAAAGTTATTATTTTCAAATGTCAAATTTTCTATTTTTATCACAAGTCACTATCAACAAAATACATATTTTATTTTAATTAACAATTGTTTTTATTTGAGACACAAAATTCTTATTTTCAAATGTCAACATTTTTATTTTTTTTCACAGACCACTATCAGCAAAATACCTATTTTTTAAATTAACAATTGTCTTTATTTGAGGCACAAAATTGTTATTTTCAAATGTCAAAATTGAATTTATAATATTATTATTGTTATTATTCATTTTTTAATTAAATAACTCATTTCAAATTTATATGTATATTTAAATAAAATTTATATCGTATCAAATAAATTTATCCGTGCGGACGCACATGTATCTTGTTAGTTAATTAATGTAAAGGAAAAAACAATTTAGGTAATTTGGTGGTAGTTAATGTTAATAGATTTTGATTTATTTATAATTTATTATTAAAGTATTCTTTATTTATAAATGTTGACTTTCTTTTTTCACTACAAATAATACAGCCAATACCTATGTGAAAATCACGTCACTAAGGTCAAAATCACATCACTAACCAAAATTAGCGACGTGGGCAAAACACGTCGCTGGAGCACCCGTGGCAACATTTGCCACGTGAATATCAAGTCACTAATTAGTGACATTGAAATCACGTCGCAACATACCAAAATATTGACCTTTGTTCCAATGTGAAAAGCATGTCACTAAACTGTGACAAGCTTTTCACGTAGTAAGCCAGGAATTTTGATGCACGCAGAAGTGTCAGTTGTGGCATGGAGTGAAGTGAATATCACGTTACTAATTTAGTGACATGAATCCCACATCACAAAATATAAATTTTGAATCAGATTTAGTGATGTGAATATCATGTCAGTAATTAGTGACATGGAATTCATGTCACAACGGTCTACATTATAAATTTAGTGACGTGATTATCATGCCACTGATGAATTTTATTTTCAAATCTAGCAACCATATGATATCTATTTCGCAGGTTAATTATTTAATAAAAATAAATAAAAAAAATTCTAATTTAAAAATATACAAAAGTTATTCACGTCACAAAAATAATAAAATGCAAAAACTAAAATAGCTTTTGATTAAAAAAGTCATAATTATAATCATTAATAAATATAAAAGTATTAGTCATAGGATATTCACGCCACAAATATAAATAGTAATAAAAGAAGCTATTCATCATCATTACTAAATATATCTTCGTCTTCATCTTCTTCCTCGATAGGACACTTCAATTGTGAGGCAAAAAATTGTCGCATTTATTCCTCCATTTTCAGATTTGTCTCTTCTTTATTTCCTCAGTTTCGGCCTTTAGCGCCGTCTCACGTGCCTCTGTCTCGCGTCTCACCTCCGCCTCGCTTGCCGTTGTCTCGCATCTCGCCTTAGTTAGAACCAGTTGTCGCATTGTCTCCATCATTTCAGGTGTCAATTCTGGTGGACGAGATGTTCCTTCCCCATCTCCAAGTCTTCGAAATAAAGTTATATCCCTTTTTCTGTAGTCGGCAGCCAAGGATTCGAGATCAAAGAAACACCCATTTTCTCCCTTTCTTCCAACTGATAAACCCCAAATATAAAGATCCCCGCATGGATCAAGCGGTTCACTCCTGATCGGAGTATATTGAGGATTATCAATTAGAAATTGGGCAAGTAGTTTCTGATACAACTCCTACACATACATAAAAAAATTAAATTAAATATAGGTTAAACAATTTAGTGATATAAAATAATTAAATAAAATATTGAAATATAAACAACAAGTTACCAAAGT